CCAAGCAGGGGAGTACCATTAGTACATGGCGATACCCTTGTCGGTGCACAATTATATGTTTGGTCTCATGGCTCAGAGTTACCTGCATCATTATAGTGTTGGATATTTAGCACTCGTGATGGATATGTGCAGTGATGTAGAAAAGATGACAACTGATGATGTACCGGTCACATGGGACTTTACAGGTGTTTGCCTTAGGTAACTCTAATTCATTTTGTGAAGAAAAGGACTAGTTAGTTCCGTATTAGGCTTGGATACTTAGAAACCGGATCGTTTGGATCGTCTAAGATAATTTGGGATTTGACCAATCATGGAGCATAATTGGATTTTCATCAAATTCCAAGTAGGGGAGAGTTACCCACCCAAGGCAACAGTCTAGGGACTATGCAAACCTCGGTATGATATGGAAGACTTGAGACAACTTCTGCAGATTTTGAAATTTCTAGTCTTTTCAAGTGACGTGCGCATGGAATAGAAAAAGGAAAACAACCATAATAGATGGATGATTTGGTTTAACAATGGTGTATCATTACATTCTTTTATGCATTCAAGAAGTTCACATGGTCGATTGTCTGTAGCGGGAGCAACTTGTTTTAAGTAAGTGTTCGTCAGGCGTTTTGAGTCAGCAACATCGATTCACTTATTAGGTATTTGGATAGGATATTTTTTGTTATGGTGATGAGGGTCCCCTTTCATTTCTTGACTGATGAAAGCTTGGAGATTCAAGGCATGGTCCAAAAAATGGATAGGTCTAGGTTCCTAAAGTTCGATAATTCATTTGGTTCTTAGCTACTATTGTTATAGGATGCGGGATGATGGTTAGGTTCCTATAGGTTATTGGGATGGTGGATGCATGCCTATAGACCCACAATTCTTGGTTATAAGCTTACAATTGGTATGTATCAAATGCTTGTTTAAGCTAGTTAGTCTAATTGTTCTGTAATTGATTGATGAGTATATCGTGGTGTATGGTTTGGTGCAAGTTACGAGACCTTGGGTGTGAAATGGAACAATGTAAGAGTGCGACTTACACATATCAATGGAAGATTGCTACCCATTGTGTAGGGTACGCCTCGTTCATGTAATGGAAAGTGTTGAATTGTCAGGACGACAACTTGAGTGCTATGAGTTGTATGGAACTGTGTCAGAACCATTGTCCATATCGAGTTGTGGATGAGGTGTTGATCAAGATATTTCTTCATTTGGTAGTGGTATATTTCCTTAGTAAGGGAATTAGCTAGTTTTTTTCCTGGAGGAGTAGGAATGTTCGTTAGTCTTAGAGGGTCGGTATTTGAAATTTCATGTCATAAATTTTAGATTTATAGGAGTTTTGCATGGAATTGGATTATGTTGCTAGACATCGTTAAAGATTAAGATGGTGAAATACTTTATTATCATAGTAAAGTAAATGTAGTTGTTGATGCTTTTATTCGGAAGTCGGATAGTTATCCACTTCGAGAGTTGTGTCTATTAATGACAACATTACTCATCTATTGGAGTTGACGGAAAAGCTGCAGGGAGTGACGTTTCGGGATGAGAAAGCCAAATAAGTGATAGTTTCACGGGAGGTTCTGATTGTTGATCGGGAGAGTCGAAGTTATTGTCATAATATGGTTAGGTCTGTGTTCCTACACTGGAGGTATTAATAAGACACCTACATTAGGGAGGTCGTAGCCAGGCACGAGGAGATAGTGTCTTCTATCTCTGCTACGGATATCCGGTTTACATCTTCGTTTTGGGAAAGGTTCTATAAGGAAATGGATGCTTCGTTGCAGTTTAGCACAATGTTCCACCTACGAAAAAATGAGTAAATACACAATTTCGACTTTGGGATAATTGGGATTAGTATCTTCCATTAGCAGAGTTTTTCCCATAATAACAGCTTTCACTCTTGTATTGGCATGTCACCATTTGAACTATTGAGTGGAAGGAAGTGCAAGACGCCTACGTGTTGGGAAAGAATTGGTCATCAAGTACCAGGGAGCACGAATGTTGTGCTTAATATGAATGATGTGTTTCAGTTAGGGGAGCAACCTAATTACATAGATAAGCTGACTATTATCCTTAACGGAGAGACGAATACTTGTGCTATAATAGATTGATTTAGTAAACGTTTAGTGGCATCATCAGAAAGGTTCTGATTGGGCTTGGGAGCCCAGGGTTGGGGTTGCAGGCTAGTTATCGAGAGTTTTTCGAACGTAGAGACTTCGAGGACAAAGTCTGACTCAAGCGGTGGAGACCTGTAACGCCCCGATTTTTGGAATATTTTATTTAATTATTTAGATTACCCGAGATGTATTTAATAAATAAAACCCATGTAATTTATTCAGGAAGATTTCTTTTGTTAATATTTTTTTTGGTGGGGGTTAATAGGACACATGTGGAAGGTATTTGTGAAGAATTGTAGAATAAGAACCTCTTTTGCTAAAATGATGAAAATAGTGGTACATGTGTGTGTGTGTGTGTAATGTATACGTCAATAGGAGAAGTCCTATCTCTCCCATTCTTGTCGGTCAAAACACAGCCCTTCCCATTCAAACGTTAATTATTTTCCCTCCCATCCCCACCTTTTGAGACCACCATCATTGGGGGTTGTTGCTCAACGCCTAATGGATTAATATGTTTAATGAACCTAATAAGTCAAAGCTGGGAAGTATTATAAAATACCTATTCTGTAACTGTTTTGTAAAAATTCTAGAACAATGGAAGAGAGTAGGATTTATGATCCGCTAGTTCCCAAAGTTCAAGTTTCAAGTCTAGCATGTCCCTGATTTTTTCCTTGACCTGAGGTTGGCTATAACTTGGGTTAAAATCGTCATTTTCACTGACTGTTCCAGAATTAGCTGCACTGATAAGCAGTTTTGTAAAATTTATAATTAATTATAGGAAAATAATTATATTGATTATAATATATATGTGGAAAGGTAATGAGTTTAACTTTATGAATACGACTTTATATTATGGAATGAAGGGGTTTAGGGGGGGGGGAGACAGGTCCTGAACATACTGGAGTTTTAGTATAAAAAGATGAAAATAACCTTATGGGTGTATTAGTGGAATCAAGGGCTCAGGTGGATGCTTGTTCTGATTCATGTGTGAGTTTAGGTGAGTTCCTCACTACTTGACCTTGATGTATTATGTCGTGCTTAGTTTGTGTGTGTATGTGTATGTGTGTCATTAGGATATGTATGATTAGTACTGGATTTTATCACTTTTTTTTGACAGTTTATGGTATGTTGGGCTAAAGGTCATAAGGTTGAGCCTTTTAAAAGAAGGCAGACGTGTCGAGTTATGGGACCGAAGGTGGTGACGCCGAGTCCGTGAACCGAAGGTCGTAATACCGAGTCCTTATGGTATGCTTATTTATTTATGTGTTCTTTATCACACCCATGTTCAAGGAGGCGGAACATGTCGCGCTATGAGACTTAGTTCATTGATCACATGTAAACTGAATATATAAAACAAGTACAACAATAAACAAAACAACATTTGTATTCCATCTTGATGTTTGAATACAAGGTTCTTACATACAATAGTATAGTACATGAATTGCCTTAAACAGGTAGGAAGACATAACTGAAACTAGTAAACTAGATTACCTAAAATCCATGACCATTTCGTCGTCTGAAATGCTTGATAACGAACTTCCTGAGAATACATGTAGTTTTGAGGGTCAACACAATGTTTGTGAGAGTTACAGGTTTTTTGCTAACAGAAGTAATGATACATTAAAAAACGTTCAAAAAGTATTTTCTTTGTTAGTAAAACCATACCTATAACTGTGTTTATAGAGAGTCACTGAATAAACTTTGAAGACCAAAAGGTGTCTTTGCATAAGTAAATCCATACTTAAAACTTTATTTGTAAAGAGTCTTTGAATAAACTTTGAAAACCAAAAGGTGTCTTTGGATAAGTAAATCCATACTTAAAATTGTTTTGAGAGAAACCAAGTCGATGGTTTGTAGTGAGAGAGAGAGAGAGAGAGAGAGAGATTCTAGTTAATGTTGATAGTGAGTCTTATAACCGAGCTGTGTGACTGAATGTACCCCATACAATGCTTCATTGTATGTTGTAGTAACGATTGTAGATACTTATCACCCGCTTCAATTGATTGGTCGAGGTTGTAGCTAGCAAGCACAGGTGGGGATGTCAACCATGTATAGATCTATAAATATGTATCTCGCTCCGAGGATTAACGGTTATAGTAGTGTTGGTATGTTAAGTGTTTAGACTTAGCTAATGAATAGTGTCTCACTATAAAGCCCTTAACTAAGGTACGTGAATAGTCTCAACCCTAATTTATATGTGGATAAGTCTCTAAGCATAATGATTTATATAAATTTTATAAAAGTCGAGTATGTTTGGTATATATGTAAAAGTGTAATGTACTCGCTTTTATAAAGAGGTACCACTACTAGAAAAACAGCCTTTTACGACGCGCAATGCGTGTCATAAAACGCTCAGACGACGCGCAAATGTGTGTCAAGGAAGGCCCTGTCATAACGAGAGACGACACACTTTTGCTCGTCGTCTATTTACGATGCGCATTTACGACGCGCATTTACGACGCACAGTTATGATACACAATGCGTGTCAAGGAAGGAATTGTCATAAAGAAAGAAGACACACATTTGCGTTTCGTAACCTTACGACACGCGTGTTTATGACACGCAATGCGTATCAAGGAAGCCCCTGTCATAAAGGAAGACGACACATATTTTTGCGTGTCATAATTTTAAATGTTTTTAAAATTATATATTTTTGATAGATTTACTAATTTTAAAATTAAATAACACACATTAAAAGTCTCATAATACAAAATCAAATACCATAAACAATAAAGGTAATTCATTGCATTAATATGTCAAATACAAATAATCATTCCAATAGTAAGTAAATGTAACACATTGCTAATATTGCATAATATTTATTATAGAAAACAAAACATGTACAACATTAAAAGAAACCCATGACTAAATTCTCCTTTGATAATTTCCTTTCTAAGAGAATAACCTGAATGCAGGAACTTTGAGAGGCAGCAGGGCATGGAAGGAGGTTGCTGGGAATGTCAGAACCTGCACAGGGCAAATCGGTAACTTAACATGCAATACAGCAGGCTGACTATGATTAAAAGAATAACCTCAAGTTTTTCTTTCAATATTTCTTGATGCAATATTTGAGTGATTAAACAAATATAAACCATGATTGGATAACATCAAGTGAGCAAAAGTAATTACATTGACTGACTATGCAGTAAAAAAATATGTATTGCTTGATATATGTTATACTAAATCAATATGAACCTTTTGCTGATGAGAATGCTTTTGGCAAAAAGACTTCACTCTATCAAGAGCTTCTTCAAGAGAAGATGGGTCTGTAGCAAATGTTACACGAATCCAGCTTTTCAAACCTACAGTAAGTCCTACAAAACCCAAAAGAAATATATTTATTAGGTCATTATAAAATTCAACCAAATGCTACAAAAGGATTGTAATCACCTAGAAGAAGAATTAGGGATTCCTCTTTGGCTAGCTTGAAACAGAAGTCAATATCATCACTAATATCTTTTAGTAAAGAAACATTCAGTTTAACCTACACAAAACAAAAGAAACAATTTTAACAAAACTTGAACAGTATTTACCATTAAATTTAAACCAAAACACCTAAACCCTTACCATAACAGCCATAGCTCCCTATGGTTTTTTTGGGCATGTCAAACAAGGGATTTCTTGAATTTTCCTGAAACAAATATATGAAGTGTTCTTCAGTATGCTAAGAGTTCTTGTAAAGAACACTTCTTTCGTATCATCAAGGAACCGAGGAACAGCTATATATATATATATATATATATATATATATATATATATATATATATATACATTAAATCAAATTTATCATTTATAAATAAGGAGATAGAGAGTAAAAAAGAAGATACATATATATATATATATATATATATATATATATATATATATATATATATATATATATATATATATATGTATATAATCAACTTTATCATTTATAAATAATATGTTGATATGTTACTCAAAGTATGTAAAAAAGAAGATACATTCCAAGTTTATTTTTTTTCATACGAATAGGTTGATTTTATTTTAATGACTTAAAATTTAAAATTATGATTGTTATTATTATTTTGTTTAACTTACAGCAAAAAGTTGAATGTAATGGCACAAAGCAAGAAATTACCTAAAATACAGAAGAAAGATTTAATTACTAAATTAAGAATTTATAAAAGGGGACAAAAGGGGAGTTGGGAAATACATTGTCATCATCTTGCAACATCATTCTGCTACTCAAAGATGAAACAGGAGGATGCTGCCGAACCATTCTCTCATCTGTCCCTAGAATATGTCTCTTAGAAAGTTCCGAATCTTGACCAACAACAAGGGCATTAATGGTAGAAATAATGTTACTATTCACAGGGTTGATAGGGACAGCAACTGAAGATGGACTTGTCAAACTGGTCAAACTGCCCCTCCCGAGATTCCTTAATCCGGATTCACTAAGGGCAGGAGATGATTTACGAATAGGGAATCCTCCGACTTCTTCTTCCTTGTTTATAGGTGAGGAAGGGATGTTGGAGACTGAATTTTCTAAAACGCCCCTCACCGGACTTGGACTTGGAGGGACTGAAGAGGAGGTGAGATGATGAAATGGAGTGGGGACAGTAATAGGGGTTGCCTGGGTCCCGGATGGTGTTGGAGGAGATGATGAGATGTCAATGGCTTTTGGAGGTGGGGTCCGTGGCCCATGCTTTGATATATTTTCCTGAGATAATGTCTCCTCAGTTTGCTCCTGTACTGAAGCTCCCTGTTGAATATATTTTTTCCATAAATAAAAAAAACCCAAAAAGAATACATAATATCATGACTTTCTATGCATATGGCAACATGGGGAGGTATCCTATGGGGGTAGATTTGTCATTTGACATACCGGTGACCGAATTAGAGGTGAAGACAAATCATTTTTCGTACTTAAAACAACAACAGTAGCACCAACGCCCTGCCAAAACAATAAAAATGATGACCACTATTTTCATGAAATTTTTTCTTCATATGAATTCCTTCTACATAAGGCAATTAAGCAAACTAACTTGACTAAGTTGACATGGTTTCTAATTGGAACTAGTTTCTAGATGATGAATGGAATATAAATTCAGCAAGTAGGGTTTTGAACAACAGATATGTTGTTACCTTAACGAGCCCAGGTGGACCAATGATAACAAGATCTTTTAGAGCTTCTACTTTGTCTGGTGATAAGGTGTTGTATAACATATCAACATCCTCAAACTCATCAAAATCCTCCTGCAGATGAAATGGTTTGTGGTGGTTTTAGATGCTTTGTGAAAAGTGAAAACCACAATATTCTTTTATCATCAATGAAGTCCTTATTTCGTTCCACATAGTGGAGAGAACCTTAAAGAAACAATTGAGAAAATGTGAAAGGGAAAAAAGTATATGATGACCTGATTTCGTTCCACATAGTCATCAATGAAGTCCTTAACATCCTTGACTTGTTCAGGGCTCATTTCATCATTATCCAACAACCGTAATATCAACTCTAGCTTCATTATATGAGCCTTATGTCGAACAACTGATGACTCTAAATGTGTCTATCAAAGAAAAGAGTGAAAGACATCCATCAAATTATCAATTGTAAGGTAGATATTGAATAAATGGAGTCTATTACAAGGTGAAAATTATAGAAACTGAATCTTTATTCACCATATTGATATTACCAGTCTTGGAGGTCTTGCTTTTCCTTTCTTAACAGATAGCCCCTTCATCTCAGCTTCAAAGCTATCAATTTGAGATTCCAGCTCAAACACCTAACCAATAAAATAAGTGTCTTCATATATAATGTCTAAATGAGGATCCACATATGTAAATAATAAAACAAAGGGAGGCCTTTAAGGTACTGTGAAGAGCATCACACCACAAGAGAAAAAAGAAAGCGACAGCCTAAAAGAGAAGAAATAAAGTGACAAACTGAAATTACCTGCGTGGGAAGTGGGATCAGAAAGATAGCTAAACCAAACCTTGGAACTTGTTGAAACCTAAGGGCTGGCCGGCGGAGGTTGCCTCCTTCAATGTTCTTAACATTGTATAGACCATACAGTAGTGGAGGTTAGAGACAGATCACTAGAGGGTAGAATAGAATGAAATTAGAGAGTCGGTTACTTCATTAGAGCTCGATTGGAGTGGAATCGGAGATTAGGGAGCGGAATAAGAGAGAATCAAAGAAGTTCGAAGTGTGGATAGATTTTTTAGGGTTCAATTTCAAGTCAATTAGTAAAGAGTCCAAAATGATTACACCTCCTGTACCTCACTCAATAATCGAAACCATAGAAATTCTTGAATTATGTATGAACAAATGACGAAGATGCGAAGTTGTGGGAGATGCAAAGTTGGAGAGCAGATGTGGAGAAGTGAAGCGGTGGAGGTTTGAGAATCGAGAGAGAATAAAGAAAGAAAGGGGGTTTTCGGCGGGGATGAGCTAGGGTTTTTAGCCGATGGAAAAAAAGCGGGCTTTTTAATTTTTGGATTTCATTTCCCCCTTGGATGAAACGCGCGTTTCATTAAAATTTATAAAGCGACATGGTTAGACGACGAACATTTTATTTAAGGTGCCCTCCATGTTTTTTTTATTAAACACTAATTTTAGGGCACGCAAAAATGCGTGTCCTCTATGCTTCATATTTTGGAAAACTGACATCAATTTTTAGGGCACACACAAATGTGTGTCCTCTATCAGCGTGTGTCATTGATTGCGCATCGTAAAAGGCTGTTTTTCTAGTGGTGTACGTTTCAAGGTAGTGATCATAAGTACATGGATAAACTCTAAGTTATAATAATTATAACTTATATAAACACACACACACACACACACATATATATATATATATATATATATACATGTATGGTAATACTTTGATCTTTGAAATACTACAAAGGTGGCAATGTCACATATAATATAAATATATATTTCAAAGACAACACAGAGAAATTAATCTAGAATGTTGATGGTGTCTTTGTTTTAGAAAAATTCTATAAAAATCATTGAGAGTCAGAATTAGGATCCATAAACTCTCAAGGTTTATAAATTGAGTCTACTTTGTCCCTAATCTTTTCCCTAACCTGATATGAAACCTAACTAAGGTGAAAATGATCGTTTTTACATACTAGTACGAAGAGGATTGCAATGATATTCGGTTTAGCAAAAATCATAATAAATTGTATAAAGATCGTATGAATGTGCGCGAGTAATCCATGAAAAGTTATCTAACGGAACTACTTGCATACAAAACAGGTTTGCAATCCATAAGGTTTAAAATGGGCAAAACAAGTCTTGAACGGATCATAATTTTCACATAAAATCATAACATTTTGTAGTATATTTTTCATGATTGTTTTTGCATAAACGAAAGATGTGAGCACATATATTCCCCCTCCCCCCCTCCCCCCACCGAAATGTATAAAATATTTAAAATAGGACCCGTGATCGTGTTCCACAAGCACCGCGTGATAGCACAAACTAGCAATGAATTTTGATCTGGTCGTTTGGACTCAATACACACGAAACAAACAATAAAAAGTCGAGATTTGTTATTGGAGTTTCCACAAAAAATTGGAAACAAGAGATAGAAACAAAGTAGTGGTGGTTGCTCGAAAAAAAACAGTGGGGAAAAGGTGGTTCCGGTGGTGAACTTCGGTGGTGGATTAGTGTTCCTCGGTGGTTGGTCTAAACCGAGAGAGAGATAGAGAGAGAGAGAGAGAGAGAGAGTGAGTGAGTGAGAGGTAGTTTGACAGATGTTATGGCTGATGCTTTGTGTGGAAAATGGGAAACCAAGGGCTTCCTTTTATAGACCAAGGAAGCCTCATATATCTGTGCAAGGCCATGCTTCTTAAACTAGTCTTTCACACAAACACAACCATGATTGTACTTAGGGAAAGTGTGTACTCCAAGAGGCAAGGTGAAAGAAGAAAGGGGAGGGGGTGCCTTATGGCTGATTTTTGATCATCCAAACATGTACATGATGATGTCACACACTCAAAAAGTCCCAAAATGCTTCTAGTTGTAGAACTCCGGGAAATCGTGTTTAAAGATTTGCGTCTATTTGACCCGAATCGTCCGATTTTTCGAGTTTTGCAAATATTTTTACTAAAAATATTTCGAGTATATAATTAAATATTAGACCATTGTACGAGCTCAAAAAAACTCTCGGAATTTACATCTAAGGTGTGCAAGTGCCTCAACGAATATAAGCGGTTTTAGCAGTTTTAAGAAAATTAGTATTATACTGGTTTGGTTTCTTATAATGGTCGTATCGTTTGCATACGAACTCCGTTTTGCACTTTCTTTATATTTTCGGAAACAGGTAAACATGTACCACGAGACTAGAATATTTTCTTCGCTCACAACTGCTTAATACGAAATTTCAGTTTTTCAAACGTATTAACTAGGGTTGCAGATTGAGCTGTTTGATTCTGTAAAACCCCAAATCGCTGTGTATCAATCGGATTCACTAGATGGTGTGGAATCCCAATCAAGTGAATGATGCAAAACGTGAAATAGATGAAAGAACACAAGATGAACCTTCAATGCACACTATATTAACGATAGTCTAGTACATAAGATTCTTGATTAAACTCGGTTTTCTCCCTGTTTCTCTCTAGAATGTGTTCTTAGCTTATGAAGTCACACAAGAACTTCTCTCCCTCTTTACAAGGCTAAAATAACACTATATATACCTATACCTAATAACAAAGGCCCAGCCCCAAACTCAAACAGGACAACATTAAGCTTAACCAAAATCACATGTGATTTCGGTCCAAACAACACGAAAACATGGTGTTTCCGGTCCTAGACCAAGAACTCTAATAGCTTATGAGAAGCAAAGTATAAACCATAATTTATGACCTAACAATCTCCCCCTTTGTTTAGAGCTTTCTTTTCTCTTCAATCTTTTCTTCGTTCTTGACGTCAGCTTTTATCTTCGATTTCTTAACAAATTCAAGATGAACATATGAATGTCAACATGAATGACTTTATCTTGTACAGTTGGACTTCCTTCAAAGATTTGACATTGAACACACATTTGGGTGTAGAGGCTTCTTGTAAAGATTCTTGAACATCAACACTTTCAGCTTTGAAATACTTCAGAGATAATAACAGAGAGACCGATTCTTCTGGATCACTTCAGCAGGTTCATAAATAGCAGCAAATTGATTGAGGAGGCTTCAATGAAATTCGTCACATAACTTCAAATACAGCTTCACCTTGATTCAGAGGTTGAAAGATTGTATGTAGAAAAATAATATTCACTTCTTGTTCCTTCGAATGAGTGACTTCATCTTTGTCGATCACAGATGCGTCTTGAAAGTAACCATGACTAAAAAGTCCCTGTTGATAACAGAGTCATAAAAACCCTTCTCACCACAGTTGTTCAAGGACCCAGCCTTGGCTCAGATGGAGAGTACTCACAGTATCTGTGTGAATACGGAGGAACGTACTGCGATTTGTTGAGTATCGGAGAAAGATATTGTCTAACTGACAATTTGTACAGTTTCAATCCTTCATTTCCTTGTAAAAATGGAGTGAAGTGTAATGACCATCAACTTCTTTCCAAGTTTCTTCTCCTTGCTCAGAAATTTTCGATACAGTTTCCTTGAGTCTCTTATTCTTTTTGAATTCGTGCTTTTACGACAAACGAAATTTTGAGAAAAAAAAATAAAAGTAATAATAGACTTAGCACACAATAGAAATAACTAAGAAATAAAAATTAAATTAAAAATACACTCAATATAAAATATTTTTGGATTTTTGATTTTTCTGAAAAAGAAATAAGAACAGAAATAAACATATTTTTGGATTTTATTTTTAATTTTATGTTTTTTGTTTGATTTTTTAATTCTCCCCCTAAATTTATGTATAGAGGAAAAATATGAACAAATTTAACAAAAACAAAAATAATAACTAAATTTAAAACTTTTTAGGATCAAAGTTGTTAAGCAGTTCAATATCTTTTATCAGCACACACCTGCATGTTTAGCTCTGGTCAATAACCAATATTGTGATCCACTTAAACACAAATGATATTTACAAGTTGGACATATTATAAATGACAATACATTGTGAATATATTCCTAAATAATATTCCTAAATAGACCATTTTGCGGATGACGACCAAGGATATTGTTGTCCACTTAAATTCAGCAGTGAGATCTACAGTCAACCTTTAATCATGGATCAATTCAATTTTAAACACACTAGAATGTGTTCCCAACTTCACGACATACCCTAGCAATCAAGGAATTCAAAATTTCTCTTTACTTTAGGTGAGTGCTCAATTATTTGAGAGAGAAGGTGGATATAGAGATGCATGTGTTGTATCCCAGGTCGGATATCTTCCAATTACGCAGAGGGGACACCATATGACTAACATAAAAAGAGGGTTAGAGAGATAGAAAGGTATATATGATGTGTCCCAGGTCAGATCTTCCGATCACGCAAAAGGGACAACATATGATTGACATAGATGGATAGAAAGATGCATAGAGAGAGAGATGCATATGTTCTGTCCCAGGTCGGATCTTCTGATCACACAAAGGGGGGCAATATATGACTGACAGAGAGGATAAGAAAGAAAAAAAATTTCACACATACCTACTTTATCAGAACCCCCCAGTCACCCTATCAGTACCAGAATTAAGGACATAAGTACGTACATCGAAGAAGTGTTGAGCCGCAGTTCTATATGATAAGTAACTTTAATGTATCTCGTAGGCTCCCTTGCTTATCTCACTGCTCAATCTATCCAAGCATCATATGGTCAGTTCAAATGTAACTATCTAAGTTCAAATGAGTAAACACTGTCAGGTTCTTTCATTGTCAACAATGTCTTGTCCTTTCATTTTGAATCCTTCGTGC